TAACCTATACTTAGATATTGGCCAACAGGCAGTTTCTTCACTCAAAGTCATACTTTTGTGCAATGGTTTATCAAATACTAAATACTGTAATACACAAATATTATATTATATATAATATATRTAWTATATATAGTAACTTACTCTTCAATGACGAGGTATACTCCATAATTATTATTAAACAGGATGGTTACTGGTTAGTACTTATCAAGTATAACCCYCGCCATTTTCAGTACATAATAATTTACATGGGCATGTACCAGTTGCCCCCAAAAATACCTTTTTTTATACCAATYTCCCCCAAACTACCTAGAGCRAAATGTACCAGTTGYCCTTAATCAAATGTACCCGTTGCCTTCATATGTTAATACAGGCTGATTTTTTTTATCAAAGAACACTCATTTTTTCAAAAAGTATTGACTTTTCAAAATATTTTTTATCATTATAACAATATAACTGTATTGTTTATTATGAATTTTAWATTTCTTTCGTTTTATATTATTTTACATTATTTTTATGAATAATTATATTTATTATTTGTATATTTACCTTCCCTATTTTACAGGCTATATATTGTAATCGTGTATATATTAACATATGAGGGCAACTGGTACATTTGGTCGAGGGCAACTAGTGTATTTTAAAAATCCCGATAACAGCCGTGAGGGCAACTGGTCAACACCCATTTACATCTTATACTTTTATAACCTGTTTTAAATTAAAATTAAAATAGTTAAAACCGGGATAGTCGAATTGCACTCATTACCTACAAACAAATGGTCGAACTGCACTTGGGTTTAAAAAAGGTAATGGACGAACTGAACTCGGGTAAAAACCAGCTGGTAGTGGTCGAACTGCACTTGGCCTCAAAAAGTATATTTTCAATAAAATAATCATGCATTTGAAGTGGTTAGGTCTTACACTCATTTTTCTTCCCACTTACAGGCTTAGGACTGACAATGATTTTAATCAATGGCGTTGTTAAAAACGATTGTTTTAAACATCACATTATGTTAATTATATATATTTACATTATAATTATTATATTATATTATACTAGGTATACATATTATTATTATTACCAAACATTTTTTTTTTTAATCGTAAAATGTAATTATTGTTATTATTATATATATATTTAAAACTAAGTTAGACAAAAACATAAACAATTAAATTTCGATACTTTCATTTTATCTTGTTTAAATTATTATAGACGTTTGCCCTACAAGTACGGTAAAAMACTTTTTACTTTTCAAATTGTATTAAATTTTTCATTAAAAAAAATTCARTATAGCCAGTTTGTAAGTATAAAATGATTATTTGAGTCAAGTAGTTTATTTTTTATAATTTTTTTTTTTAAATATCAAAGTAAATTAATTTTAAACGTAATAATATTTTTCAAAATATTATTTTTGTGAATACCCTGGTATAAGTATATTCCTTAAATTAATTCATATAATCTCATATAATGTTCATAATTTTTGATATTTGTGTAATTAATTTTCTGTCATGCTTTGTACAAAAAAAAAAAAATAAATAAATAAATGAAGGAATAAAATCAAATCAACTAAACCAATTATTACTATGCAACTGATTTTCTAATAACAACTAAAAATAATAATTTTCTAAAATCTACTATAGTATGATTTGTCATAA